AAATTATCAAAAAGTGGTATAAACTCCCTATAACCAAATGTCAAACCATATGATATTGAATATAAAAGGTTCCAAAAACACAACTCTGATGCCCTTCGGCAAAGTAAATATGGAAGTAGGTTAAAAATGTGTTCTTGTTATCTAGTGGTTATGGGTTCAAACCCTGTATAGAGGTACTGAATTAATATACACTAGAAATTAAAAAAATAAGTCAATATGCAATAAATATCAGCCCAAAACACTGATGATGTCTAGAATTTACTTGACCGAAACGTTGTCTATAATACTCAAGCTAATTGTGCTGATAATAATATCTATAAAAATATCATGCTTGATTCGTTTTCTGCGACTTATCAAACATTTGCAGGTTATTTAAAGCCAGATAATATTCATAGATTGTTACAATTATTTTTAATAACAATTTAGTTATACTAATTAAGGGAGAAGATGGTGGATTCATACCTTCCCCAGAAATATTTGCGCGTGAGTGAATATAACGAACCCGATAGGAATTGGAACTCATCTCTCCGATTAAAAATTCCGTGTCATTATACATTAAACCACCCACACACCCAAGTTTACAGCAGTCACCCATCTATGTACTAACCACGCTCGACGTTGCTTAACTTCGCTGATCGTACCGGAATCGGTGTTTCAACGTGATGTGGTTGTAAGTCTTGCACTAATCATGTTCGAATAAGTTAAATTATATAAGACCAAATTTATTTGATAATCTAGTTTAAGATCGTATTTCAACACGCACATGTGCAAACGTACAAAACGAAAATTATACACTTAATTAATTTCCCTGGTTTCAATTTAACTTGAAAAAATATATAATTCAAAATTCTTCACTTTAAGAATCATTGAATTGAAAGAATAATTTTCGGAAAAATATTATTTTCTAAATGGTTTAAAGAAATATCGAAAATGATATCAACCAGAGGCTGTGCATTAACATTTGAGGAACGTCACTTAAATAGCATTTAAAGCAACGACCTTCATATCACGAAATTACTAATATATATATATATATAATTATTTTTTATAAAAAAAAAAATTATAACAAAAATATGTTATAAAATCACTACAAAAAATAGCCATTTTGTTTCAACACCCTCGGTGTCTTATCAAGTGATGATGTTGAATATAAAATAAAATTTTATATTCAACATCATATATTCAATTGAATATAAAATAAAATTTTATATTCAACATCATCATTGATAAGACACCGAGGGTGTCGAAACAAAATGGCTATTTTTGTAGTGATTTTATAATGTTATAAATTTTTTTTTATAAAAATAATTATATCTGCTCTACTTTTGTATTGAGCACTCTTTTAAGAATAGTAATTGTTGGTTATTGGAATTCATTCCATATACCAATTATATACTTGTGTATATATATATATATATATATATATATATATATATATATATATATATATAATAAAATAATAATTAGTATTCCCTGATGATACGCGTAGGTGAAACCTTTGTAAGTTTGTCTGGCTCTTTAGGTTTAATTAGGTTTGCTCTACTTAGCGTATCGAGCACTTTATTTAGTTATTTTTACTTACTTGTATCGGGATTTTTTCTTTGAACTCTGAACTTGGATGCTAGACGATTGTCTTCGGCTAACCTACATGTTCTCTGTTCTTTCTTTTTTTTGTACCTTTTTACCTTTGGTATATAATTTCTTATATTTATAAGATAAGATTATTATATATATATATATATATATATATATATATATATATATATATATATAAACACAATGGAGCCCGGAACCTTTATCGATCAGGTCCAGATCACCTAAAAAAAAATCGGATTTTTTATTATTTTGATTTGGGGAAGTTTGTCGTGTCGAGAATTTTTAGCGCACCTCGTATATCCCCACGGTAAACTCATATTTCCACCAACGCAAAGCCACTCAGTCAGCTTATCCCCCCGTTAATAATATACGCAGTTTCCTATATTTCCCGTGTACTTGTTACACAAACGCACACATACTGACAGACACAGACTTATGGTGCATCCATTAGTTCTAAAACACAAGCATCATCCGATAGCAACGGCTTCTCTGATGACGTCAGAAGCGAACAGGATGGATCGTCTATAGAAATCTATTTTTAGCTTGACTGATTCTAATATTGAAAATAATCGAACTTACTTTCTCTCTCTCTCTCTCCTGCCTTTAAAAACAATGCAAGACTTTTATCAATGAGATGATCGATTGTGATTTCTTACCAAATATATTACGCGCCCACACAGCCGCGCACCGGCACACCCAGTTTTAAGGAAATCTACATACGATGTCTTTTCTTAAAACAGAAAATTATTTTATAAAGCATACTCCTTAGATTTTAAAAATCTCAATATGTTTCTGTGTTTAGGATGTCTATTTCAAACCACATGTTTTGCTAGCGAATCGGTTCTTGTAAAATCTTCGATATATGCAAATTTGAGTTTTGGGGTTTTTTTTTCGGATAGAATATAGTTTAAACTATAATAAATTTACACGTAAATTCAGAATGGGCAAATATTCAGGAAAATATAAAAATCGTAATTCATTCTATAAAAACAGACAAATTTATTAAAAAATAAAGAAAAATGGTGGGACAAAGGGAGAAGGCGAGCGAAAGAGAAATACAGAGAGAAAAGGAGAGATAAAAAGAGAAAGAAAGAGAAAGAGAGAAACGTTGGAGACTATGGCTCTCCACAATTTGCTGACCCATGTAGGTTATGATAATTTCCTCCTTGTCATCTCTCTCAAACCTTGCACCGCCACCAATTCACTCACACTCGCCATGCAGGGTTGTGCTTTGCTTACCCCTGTCTCGCTTACTTTTAATCTTTCCTGTGAGTATCAAATTTTTCAAGCCCGCTTTCCTCTCTACAATATCCAGTCCTTTGTAGTTCTTAATAACTTTTGTCTTTTTGCCATCTCTCCAAAACCCTTCTCCGCCATTCATTCACTTAAGCTCGCCATGTGGGTTACTTTCCCCTGCCTTGCTTACCTTCAATCTGCCCTGTGAGTATCCAATTTTCTAAGCCCTTTTCCCTCTCTACAATATCCAGTCCTTTGTATTTCTTAATAACTTTTGTCTTTTTGTCATCTCTCCCAAACTCAACTCCGCAATCCATTCACTCAAGCTTGTCAGGTAATTTGTGCGTTAATTTCTCCAATTTCACTTACCTTCCATCTGTCCAGTTACAAATGTTCATTAAATATTTCAAGTTATAAATCTACATAAATTAGTTAAGATTTATTTCAAAAATCGAATATGGCAAATATAAAGTCAAATAAAAATTATGACAATAGGGAAAATATATAACCTTAAGTATCGATTTTCCAATGTCTGCTTCATATTGTTGGAGGAAAAGACTGGCGTGCTGGTGTACGTAAATGACCAAACGCAAATACAGAATTTTGAGCCACCTGGTAAGAACCAATTTAATTAGATGAGGATTAAACAGTAAATACATAAAAATAGAAAAATTAGTAAGACAAGGATGGGTTATTTTTCTCATCGGATTTATTTAACCTCGACAATGAGGCAATCCTAAGAGAAATAAAAAAGATTACTACCAGGATTTGTTATTGGCTAGGAAAACCAAAAGATACGTAAATGAAAATGTGTTGCTAGCATACTCAGAAAAGAAAATGAAAAAAAAAAAAAACCTCTTCGTCCTCGGTATGACGATAAACTACATCCGACAGCAAGACTCCTGATTACAGTGGTAGCACCTGTTAGGGTCCCAACTATGGGCAAATGGTTAACCTTCAAACTAGGATTAAAACTTTATGAAAGTATAAAAATAGATGTTTATGGTTGAGTTTGTTTTGTTTTTTCGGCATATCAACTTCAATGGGTCATCTAATGCCGACAACTTTTTTCTTTTACTGGTAATATTTTTGTTTTGTCAAAAATCTATCTCTGGTAATATTTTTTTCTCAAAATGTATAGCTGGTACTATTTTTATTTTTCCAAAACGTACTGGTGGTAATATGTTTTTCTTCAAAAATTTATTTCTGGTAATATTTTTTTCTTCAAAAATTTATTTCTGGTAATATATTTTACAAATTATTTCTGGTATTAAAACCTATTTTTACACTTTCATAATATTTTTTTTTACCTTAGTTTCGGGGTCAACTATTTGCTCATAGCTGGGACCCTAACAGGTGCTACCACCCCAGGTCAGGGTGGACCTGGGAACACCAGCAATTAAGAGGTGGTTCCACGCTCCTCAAAGCCTCCTGACCAGAGGCCTTGCTGCTAGACGCGGATGTAGTTTATTGTCATACTCAGGACGTAGATGTTTATAGTAAAAATACTAGCAATAGATTTTTGAAAAAAAATATTATCAGCAATGAATTTTTGGAAAGAAAAAATATTGCCAGCAAAACAGTTTTGAAAGAAATATTACTAGCAATAAATTTTTAAAAATTAAATATTACCAGCAATACATTTGACTCTCGACAAAGAGCCCTCTTTACAAAAATACGTCAATGAAACCTGATCCAAAAACTGATTTCTTACAAAGAATATATACTCTGTTCATAGGAATCTATCCTAAAAATCCTGTCGGCAGTAAATAACCCATTTAAGTGTTGTTATGTCTTAAAACCAAATAAAACAAATGAAAGAAAACTTAGATCAGGTAGCAATGGAAATCAAGAAGAAAGGACTATCAACTGTATGATGAGAGTGTGCATCGTAAAATCAATCGTTCAACGTGTGAGTTAAGTATTTGCGAACGGCATAATAATGCAAATAGAGAAAATGTATCTGTGCTGGTCGTGATGTAAGAGCCGGCTGAAAATGTGAGACGGATATGCGACGGTGTGTAAAAGTAGCGAAAGATATCTTCTAGAAACTAACCAATTTAATACTTAGACCCAGGAAAATTCTGTAGCGAAAACGAAAGACCACCCCCGCCACATCCCTGAAAAAAGATTAAAAGACAATAACATCACGCGAGACTTTGCGAGACATGAGAAGGAGACGAGAGAGAACGCACAACAAAGTGACTGTAGGAACCGTTTTGTTTTCTTTCTTGGTCCCGCCTAGTGGCTGGGGCATAGTGACTGTGACTTTAAAGTAGTTGTGGGCCATTGTCACTGTTTCCGAACACGGTTAGCACATTGCGGCCGTGTTCGTGGTTAATATTATTGAGTGTTGGCTTTTTCATTTTGTTATTAAGGCTTTCATTATTTTTAATCTTTTTTTTTACATGTGGATGAGGTTATTATGTTTAAATTTTCTACTAGTATGTATCAGTCTGTTCTATCTATCTATCTATCTATCTATCTATCTATCTATCTATCTATCTCAGCTTGTTCATTATCTATCTATCTGTCTATCTATCTATCTAAGGTTGTTCACTATCTATCTATCTATCTATCTATCTATCTATCTATCTATGGTTGTTCATTATCTATCTATCTATCTATCTATCTATCTATCTATCTATCTATCTAAGGTTGTTCACTATCTATCTATCTATCTATGGTTGTTCATTATCTATCTATCTATCTATCTATCTATCTATCTATCTATCTATCTATGGTTTTCCATTATCTATCTATCTATCTATCTATCTATCTATGGTTTTCCATTATCTATCTATCTATCTATCTATCTATCTATGGTTTTCCATTATCTATCTATCTATCTATCTATCTATGGTTTTCCATTATCTATCTATCTATCTATCTATCTATCTATCTATCTATCTATTCTATCTATCTATCTATCTATCTATCTATCTATCTATCTCAGCTTCTTTATATCTATCTACCTATTGTTATATCCTTACGTAACCAAACCCTTTAACCCCACATATGCTTTACATTCAGCAAACCATCTCTCTTTCTACCTCTCTATAGTACAGTACATTCACTACCCCTCTCTCTTTCAATTTGTTGCTGACTACCGAATAACTGAGTCAGGCAAAGTGACATACTTAGAAAAAGGTTCGGACGAGAGCAAAAAAATAGCTTCACACACATGTGCAGAATCACAGGATCAAGTACGAAAAGTTGAGCGGGAAAATATCAGAAGGAATCAGTTGGTCCGAAGATCATAAGCGAGTAAAATCTCTTTTCACTTGTTACCGTCGAGTAAACGAAACGAAGACCAGTTCCAATTCAACACAAAATCGCTATGCTGCATATATCAAATGCATGAATTACTAAGCGTGATAATCACCTAAGACAGGCATGTAAAACCCTACCAATTACTCAACTGAATCTATGACTGATAGAGTGCCGAATCTTCCTACCCGAACGATGAATTCTACATTGCTAAATATGTGAAGAAAAGAGTAAACGACTATCTCTTGTGGTCAAAACACATAACAGTGAAGGAAGACTAACATATCAAAAGATATCACTGCATGGACGACAGGAACTGAATTGAAAGTAAAAAGAACAAAAGATAAATATAAAACAAAAGAGAGAGAAAAGGGAAGACTTAAAACCCTATTTTATTCCAGGCGATAGACTAAAGCTAAGTGATTGCTTTAACTTTTCATAGCAGATATATAATGCATACATCTTTCCACACAGAAATGTATACTGCACATCTTTCCATGCATTAACGTTTTCATGTATCGTCTTGTTATAATTAAATCTTATTAAGATATATTCTGGCGTTTGTTATTCGTTATTGTTGGTTGTTTCTCTTTGTCACTGTATTTGAACCTGTGAGAGAATTCGTCCACTGAGAACTGGGAAACCTTAGTCATATCTTTGACAACAAATCGTTGTTTTTACCTTTTTGTTTTAAAATTTTGTGTTGCAGCAAGCGATTCGTAAACGATCTATCTATCTACGTTTGTTAATATCTATCTATGTTTGTTAATGTCTATGTTTGTTAATATCTATGTTTGTTAATGTGTATCTATCTTTGTTAATCTCTCTATCTATCTATCTATCTATCTATCTATATATATATATATATATTTGTTAATATCTATACATGTTTTTTAATATCTATCTATCTATCTATCTTTCTATCTATCTATCTATCTAGCTATGTATGTTTGCTAATATCTATCTATCTATCTATCTATCTATCTATCTATCTATGTTTGTTAATATCTATGTTTTTAATGTCTATGTTAATATCTATCTATCTAAGTTTCTTAATATCTATCTATCTATCTATCTATCTATCTATCTATCTATCTATGTTTGTTAATATCTATGTTTTTAATGTCTATGTTAATATCTATCTATCTAAGTTTCTTAATATCTATCTATCTATCTATCTATCTATCTATCTACCTATCTATCTATGTTTGTTAATATCTATCTATCCTAAAATGAAAAACCAACCAAAACACTTGAAAAAACCCTGTTTTGTGCGTTATGGAAGAGACAAATATAATAAAATTGAACGACTTCAGAATATTTGAAACTATATTTCTCTTTCAAAATAGTTGTAGGAATATTCAAAATTACAATTTTTGTAAATATATAAGAGGCATATAAAAACTGCATACAAAAAGCGGATGAATGTGTGTGTGTGTAAAATGGGATGGGAGTCCCGACAAAGCTTTGAAAAAATATGACGAATTTCATAGGTTTTATCAAATCCAAAAACGAAAGAAAGAAATATACGCGCGTGCGCACGCGCGTGTGTGTACATGCTTAAATAATAAATCATTAGTAGTTTTTTTTTCCGTAAAGCCGGCGTTTTTCCTGATGAAAGAAAAGAATGAAAACTAGTAACTTTTTAAAAAAAGCCCTCGATATTATAAACAATTGCACATTCCATTGACTAGGGGTTATTTCTCGGTGGTAAAGTAAAGCACAAGTGGGCATTACTACTAATTCCTTTCTCAGTGAGAAGGAGAAAATGGCTATTTTGACGACGACATCAAAGATTACAAAGATTTCTAATACACAAGCAGCATAGATGAAACTGTCATGAGATCTTTAACATGGCCAGCAGTGACGATTTTCTGAGTGTAGCTTAGATATGGCACAAGGACGAAAGTAAATGGAACTCAGTGAGGAACGATCTCACTATTCAGTCGTAAATGGACAAGCTGCTAACCATTACACCATGTCAAAGGACCCAACTTGGGCAGCGATTAAGAGGACTAAAATGTAATTAATATTTATCGGAATTGTACTGATAAATCATCATTTACCTCCCCTTAAGATCTAGGAGGTATCAAAAACACCCTTTAACACCCGTCAGTAGACGAGTAGTATGTGTGTGTGTGTAAAATAGGATGCAGAGTCCCGATAAAGCTTTGAAAAAAATATGACAAATGGAAAACCGTTTCATAGGCTTCATCAAATCCAAAAACGATAAATAAAGCTTTTTTTTGTTTATTTACTGGTTCTGTTTTTACTACAATTTATTGCACTTTTAATGGAACTTTATATGCGGCCAGAACGATTTATCTATGACTCAGAAAACGAGGCAGTAAATAAACGCTGGATACACTGGTTCGAACCTTTTACGAACTTTTTGAAAATCTACTCCTTGAGAACCCGAATCGGCTTATTAACAAGCGTGCTCTTTTGACTTCCATCAAGAAGGGCGAAATACTTCCATTCCAGGACTAAAGAGCGAGCTCAAAATGAAAGTTCTTCCAGCCCGAATAGTCCAATACAAGAACTAGTCAGGCATTCACAGGGAATGTGTAAAGAGCTTAAACACCTAAGAGACTTTCTCCTTTATGAATAAAATACGTAGGGGAGAATGTACTGATAAATCATCAGTTACCTCCCCTTAAGATATTGGAGGTATAAAAAAAAGCCCCCTGTAATATCCGTTAGTAGACGATGATTCAGAGTAAAGTGCAATAAAGCTTTGGTATAAGTTTATTCAGTGGTTCTGTTTTTATTACAGGAAGAATAATTAAAAATTATTAATTAAAAAGAAAAACAAAAAAACAAGCAAACAAAACAAATACAGAGTTTCGTTAGAGACTTAAACTTTTTCTTACAAATTAATTTGAACCGTTGACTTTTGAACATTTACTCGAATATATTGAATCACGTGGACAGAAAAAAGTTAATATTTAGTTCTTGTTTATAATCTGCAACCCAAACTTTTAAGCTTAAAAATCATAAGAAAAAAAAAGCAAATGCACAAATAATTGCGACAAACAGCGATTTTGCAAAAGGTTGCGTTCAATCAAGTAAAAAAAATGATAGCTAGTTTTTACAGATCTACATCAACCGATTCAATTTCTCCTGAGAGATAAGCAAAACAGTTTAAGATGAAAGGAATCACCGACAACTGAAACTACCTGCCAACTTCTCTAAGTCAATAATCTTATTTTTCCTTTTCTCCTGTGATTAATGACATTTACTCAATGGATGACTTCCGGCACACGGATATCCGTTTGTATGAATATTTCAAAATAATATTTAATACGAAAAGAAGATATACATTCACACACCAACCAACACACATTTAAATAAAAAAAAAACAAACTTTTTTGTATACTAATGTTCATCCAGTACAAGGCCAAAGAGTCACTCAAAGTAGAGGTTTACTCTGAGGTGTTGTATGAATGTAAAAAAGGGCAAAAAGTGAAGTTCATTGAATTATGCAAGAAAGATAAGGGTTAACCCTAGACTTGAAGAGGTCAAAATTCTAGTGGTTTAGAAAACTAAGAGTATTTTTCATAAAGCAGTAGTTATTGGGAAGAAGCTGAACTTACTTTTTAGTGTTTGTTTTGTTTTCTTTCTTTTGTTAAACAGCATATCAGTTCCTTATGGGTCAATTAATGCTGAAATTTTACTTTCCTGTGAGTTTGGTAATTTCTTATTCAAAAATATATTGCTGGTATTTATTTATTTATTTGTTTCAAAATGTATTGGTGGTATTTCTTTGCAATTTAGTTTTTCTATTGTCATGTTCTGTCTCCAGTTTGCGGGACGCTAACAGGTGGTAACACCCTGAGTCAGGGTGTACCTGGGAACAATAGCAATTAAGAGTTGGTCACACCCTCCTCAAAACGTCTCGATCATAGGCTTTGCTGCCGGATGTAATTTATCGTCACACCCAGGATGAACTCATCGCCGCCAACTCAACGGCGTCGACTCAACACCGGCCAAATCATCTCTGTGATAACGCAACCTCAGGACAACTCGCAACCAACCAATTCAGCGCGGGGACAAATCAATACCAACCCACTCAAATCATAGACAACTCACACCAACCCACTTAGCTCGGGGACAACTCACCACTAACTCACTCAGCTCTAGCACAAATCACCACCAGCCTACTCAGATCCAGGACAACTCAATACCAACCACTCAGCTCCAGGACAACACACCACCAAAACACAGTGCGGAGACAACTCACCACCAATCCACCCAACACCAGGACAACCCACCATCAACCCACCCAAATCCAGGACAAATCACCACCAACCCATTGAGCGTGGTGGGGGGGGGAAACTTACCACCAACTCACTCAGATCCAGGACAAATCACCACCAACCCATTGAGCGTGGGGGGGGGCAACTTACCACCAACTCACTCAGATCCAGGACAAATCACCACCAACCCGGCCAACTCCAGGACAACTCACCATCAATCTACTCAGCGTAGGGACCACTCACCACCAATCCACTCAACTCCCGAACAACTCGCCATCAATCCACTCAGCGCAGGGACCACTTACCACCAACCCGCACAATCACGAACAACTCGCCATCAATCCAATACTTTGTATCGATTTTCTAAACGTTAGCTTATGTGCGGTACAAGGTCGAAAGTATGAGGTACCCATTGCGGATCGAACTTACTATTCAGCGAGATAATCTTGCTAACCATTACACCACGCCGATTACATTGCCTTTGTTCTCTGTTTTTCTAGTTGAATTTTTCGCCTACATTGCATATGATCCATTATTGTATACAATTAGGTTAGAATAAAATTTGTATTTTATATGAATACTACCTTATGAAAATTGAAGGGGGGGGCTCGTATCATAGACTTTGTGGGAAGACACATGACCCTTGCAGCGGTCCTGCCACAGGTGAATAAAACCCTTAAAATGACGGAAATGTGATTCTACGGTGAATATTAAGAATTAAAAAGCGCGTGAGAAATGAGAAAGCTTTAAGCAGATGGCATTATAAAGAAAGTGCTGATAAGAATCGCAATTAGACTTTAAGGAAATATAATGTGGAAAGAAGGCTTAGAGAATTTAACACGCGCAGAAGACATTAAAGGTTAAAAATCCGAATGAAATAGTGAGTAACAGACTTTAAGAGTTTGAGTAAATGGGTGGCAGAAAATGGCTTGGTTTGATTTGTTTTACCTCAATGGGTTATTTAATGCCGATAAAATTTTTATTGCTGGTAATATTTTTTTCCTTCAAAAATCTATTTCTGGTAATATTTTTCCTTCAAAAATCCATTTCTTGTAATATTTTTTCTTAAAAAAATCTATATTTGGTAATATTTTTTTTTTAAACATGTATAGCTGGCAATTTTTTTTCAAAAATGTATTGGTGGTAATATTTTTTTTTCAAAAATGTATTGGTGGTAATAATTTTTTCTTCAAAAATTTATTGCTGGTAATAAGTTTTTACAAAGTATTTCTGTTATTAAAACCAAGTTCTAGACCTTCACAGTGCTTTGTCCCCAGTTTGGGTGCCAACTATTTGCCCATAGCTGGGGCCCCAACAGGTGTCACCACCCGGGTCAGGGCGGACCCGGGAACACCAGCAACTGAGAGGTGGTTCCACGCTCCCCCGAAACCTTCCGATCAGCCCCCCCACCTCTGTTGGACGCAGTTTATCGTCTTACCCAGGACGCGGATGTAGTTTATCGTCATACCCAGGACGAGATGACAGAAAACGTACAACAAAGCCAAAGAGGGTTGGTAAAACGGCAATAATTATTTAGAGCCACAAGGAAAAAGATGTAAGGAGACATTAACGCCCACAACAAGAATTCAAAATATCAAAATGATTCTGACTTATTATCGATGCATCTATATATTATCAATGGGCATATGTCTCCCGCATCATTTAAATCTCTTACGCTACGCGTAGGTGTTTGTGATAAACCTGAAAGCGACTATAAATTATCAATTTTGACGCGGAGGCGGACATATATTTGCCGATGGGATTAATCGTTGATTACTAAACGAATTCTGTCAAGACGCTTATCAAGAAGAGACGTCCAGTTCTTCCTTTGACATTAAAATGATCCGTTATGTGAAATTCTATTAGCAAAATTGGGATATACTGAAGAAGGTGTGGGTGGCCTAATTGAAACCCTCGAGAAAGATATGAATACGTCTTTTCTCTTTACACTTTACTCCCAGGTATATGTTAAATAGCAGAGCAGACTGGACTTTCTAGCTTTGGTTGCAACTAGTCTAGGAGAAGGACAATTTTGAATTGCAAGTTGCGGAGAACACAACGAAAAA